AATCTATTAACAGATCATGATGATGTTGTACTGAGAAGTGATAAAGTTCTGGATATATTCTGGAGGTACAGTTAACAGAATTTGCTGCTGGACTAAACATGGGTGGAAAGAAGTAAAGAGATTCCAAGGATTTTGTTTGACAGATCAGAAGGCAAGAATAACCAATAACTGGGCCCTCCCTGGAGGCGCAACTGGTTAAAGCACAGCACTATGAAGCTACTGCAGCACAAGTCTTATTCCTGGCCAGGGAGGTGAGATGAACATGGTGTGGCAGTCCTCTCCTGTCTCGCCCGCTGCTCCCCTCAGCAGTGTATTTCAGCCAGTCTGCCTGTTCTACTTCCCACTCTGTCCCTGGTGAATCCTCTTACCCCCACACTTCTGGCCTGTATCCCAGTTATTGTATGAATAAATAAATCTTAAAAGAAAAAAAAAAAGAATAACCAGTAACTGAACAGAAGAGGCTGGGAGAAGCATGTATGGGAGGAGAAAAGATCAAAGCTTCCATTTTAAACCAGTTAAATTTAAGCTACCTATTAGAGACCCACATAGATACACTGATTAGAGATAAGATGTCTGAAGCCTGAAGTTTGAACGAGAGACTCTGGTTGGAAGACATAGATCTATACCTATTACTCTGACTCTAAGATAATTTGATACAGGTTTTTATCAGAAACTGTCAACAGGAGGCTTAACACGCCACAGTATAACTGTCACCTCACTGACAACGAGGGACAGATGCCACCTGAGATTTAAAACAGTTATTCAACTTTGGCACTATTTGGGGTCAGAAAATTCTTTGTTGTGAGGCACTCTTCGCCTATCACCCACTAGATGTCAGTACTACCCTTCCATCACTGACAAGGTCTCGGGACACTGCCAAATGCCACCTGGGTGACAAAGAGATGAGAACCATTGGCTTAGAGGCATTAAAATGTGGTGGGAGGAAGTTGGGTGGGGGGGCAGGGGCGGGGCAGTGTGTCTTATGTTAATGAGATAGGGTATTAAAATGTAAACATTGGGACTTGTTAGAGGATACCAATGGGAGCACACATGGGCCAGGGGTACAGATAAAAAGATAGCCTGAGAATTGTATGTTGGGGCGCACCAGAATTAGGAGACTGGACATGAGGAGGAGACTGTAAAGGATTAGCTGAGGAGGTAGCTCCAGTCCCTCCCCAAATCCTTTTCATACTTAGACAATGAGTTTAAGACAGACTGAAGAAGATATGACAAAAATTGGAAAGTAGAAAGCAAAAGGCTAAGTGATAACCTATTTAGCAGCCTAAGAAGAGCTGAATGCTAGACAGTGCATCAGGATTAATGCACCCTAATTTATGTGGTGTAAAGCCAAAAATCTGCAAAAACAACAGCAGAGGTCTAGATGGGACTAGATGCAGGAGAACTGGCTGAAGGTAGATTTAAGAAAAGCAGTAAGCTCCCAGATTCCCTCCTTTACTGGTCTACTGGGAGCGGCTCAAATTCAGGCTAATAGCCAACTCAGGGGACCCAACAGAGGACACAACTTGGAACCGGTTCATTTAGCTCTGTAGAAACACACACTGCGTGCTAGCCTGAGACATGCTATCTTCAGAAGGAGTCTAGAAAGCCACCAGGTCTCTTCTGGAGATGTATTATTATAAGGAAGAGATCATGGGGTATGTACAGAAATCATCCTGTCTAGGGAAACTTCAAATTCCACAGAAACCAGCAGTATATTGTACCAGCAAAGAATAGTTTTCCAGGGTTCCTCAAGGAAGTGTTCATGCTCACTTATAAGAGTTACACACTGCACTACAGGGAGTATAGCTCTGTCTCTCTTCCCAGTCATCTGTAATTTGCTTAGTTTCCTGCATTTCACCAATCAGAGGTCACTTGCAATCAACAGTGGTAGCTGGAAGTTTTCTATACTGAATCTTAGTGGAGAGAGAATCTAATTAATACATGATTACCAGGAGAAGGAAAGTCCAGTTATCTTCCATGAGAAAAAAAAAGGCTGAGACTTGCCATTAACCCTTTCTCAAGGCATTGACTTTTCATATGGGGCAACTGTATCCCACAGGACATAAATAGAATGTCTGGAGACATTTCCACAAGTGGAGGAGGTATGTGCTACTGGAGACCAGTGATGTCGCAAACACCCAACAATGTAAGGCACAGCTCCCTGCAACAGAGACTATCCAGGCCAAAACATCAGTAATGCTGATGGCTCAGAAACCCTCACCTTGAAGGGCTCGATGCTCATTTATGGAATACTGAGAACCACTATCCGTCCTTAAGACTACTTTCCCAAGTGAGCTGCTGGAACACTGTCAGCCAGGCACTCGAAGCAGGGGACTGGAAGAATATTATCTGGAGAAGTTCATCCACCAGAGAGAAAAGTACCATAAATATAACAGAATTCTGAGATGAAATTAATTAACCACTAATTTTGTCTGAACCAAGTAAGAGACAATCAATTAATGGGGGAGGAGGTGGGGAAAGCTGAGGGGGTGGTATTTGAGTTGAAATCAACATACAAAAAAAAAAAAACAAAAAAAAACCCAACAACAACAAACCACAACAGCAAGCTAAAACATGTCCCAGAAAGGAAATGTAATAAAAGCATAGAGACAGCATTTAGCAGTAACCTCTGCATAAAACCTGTAATATTGAACAGGTTTGAATATTGAATATTAGGAAGATGAGGGGAAGAAAGGGAGATGTGTGGGGCAGTTGTCTCAAGAGCACTACATCCTGGTCTTCTGGTGTGAGGAGTCACTAAACACCACATACAACTGAAAACAAGAAATAGCCATCCAAGTATAGATTTAATAGTATGGACGTAATACTCTAAGAATCAGCTAAAGGAGCACAAAGTGCTAATCTCTGGGAGCAAAATATGCCTGTTTGGAAGACTATTTGTAACAAGTCTCATTGAATACCTTGATTAAACACCACAGTTTTCCTGATTGGAGAAAGAGCAGGCTAGATACAGAAAAAGCATATTAAAGGAATTCCTGCATCGTTAAAATGCTTTTCATCCATCTTGCAAGGCAAAAGAACACACTAAATAGATAAGACTAACTCCCTTCCCTGCTTTATTCCTGGTTTACAAACACCAAACCTCATACTTTAATTCTTATATTCAACATTACATAACTTAATATTGCTATCTTTGTCCACGAATGCCACCTGCTATCATCTGAACTATTTGCTGAGAGAGGAGGATTTTTTCACTTTGTTTTATTTGCTCTTCTACTGTTGATATTTTATAATGAGTTTACTTAATAGTTGGAAATATGCACGCGTACATAATCTTACTGATTAGTTCAGAACCACTCATTAATCTTAACCGATCTCAAAATAATCTGACTGAAAAGAACTGTCAAGATACAAAACAAAATATAACCAAGAAAGCACATACCTAGTAAAATATTATTCATATCCTAACAGGTAAACCGAAGACAGAAACGATGCACATTAGGCAGCTGGTACTGAATATGATGAATAAAAACTGGTTTCATAAAGTGGAAACCACTTTTCAAGTTCTCTATAGAGAATATACACCACTTAAGTTTCTTTATAAATAAATGAAAGTTTATTCTTTAGGTTGATACAGTGTGCTATATACTTAACCTTATTTATAAGCAGTAAAATTCACATTTATCTCCAAAACATCATGATTCATGTTTTTTATTCTACAGTACTTGGGGGTAAAATTAGATATATGGGTATGTATCAAGATATTGGTGGGTTTTAACTTATTAAATTAATAAGGGGACTAATGTCAATAGGTAAAAACTTTAAATTTCTCCGTAATTCCTTGAACCAATTTTTAAGATTTCACCTTAGTATCGATTATTCATAAGTAGATTAAGTCATCCTGTATCAGAGATCATTGTGAACACAAAAGCTGGCTTTAATTGCCCCAAACCCCACTGATTTTCTTTTTTGTTGCTACCCTGTAACAAATTTGTCATCTCCCTGATGAAAAAAAAAACAAAACACAAAACAACCCAAGAATTTGTCTTCACCAAAGTCAGTTTTTGCTAAACTTACTTTATCACAAATCTATTCCCTATGCATACCCATTAACATTTAGAAAGCTTCATCTCTTAAAAATGTGTTCATGTTTGTTGTATCATTTTTGATTCTCTCAACCAACTTAAGAAATGGTAGACCATGTACTATTTGGCTCCATTTACTTTAGTTGGTGTACACAGAAGCTGAATAACTCCTTTAATATCCTGAGTCCTGAGTGGCAAGGAAAAGGACTCAGAACCAAGTGTGTGATTCTAAGCCCACAGGTTTTTTCCACTACACCACATTGACTCACTGATGATAAAATGAAGAAGTAACCCCGAAACACTAGGATCTTGTGGATTACAATGGGGAGGATATTTTATAATAAATATACACTAAGAAACAATTATAAGTTTAATAGCCAAATAGCTTTGTAAATTGTCATCAAACATCAACAATACTTCAAGTTTTTCATCATGTAAAACAACTGATTCGGGCCCTCCCTGGTGGCGCAGTGGGTTAAAGCACAGCACAAAGAAGCTAAAGCCACGTCAACATGTGTTCGATCCCCGCCCCACCCCCGGAGGTGACCACATGGTGCGGCAGACCACTCCTGACCTGCCCTCTGCTCCCCTCAGCAGTGTACTTCGTCAGTCGGCCTGCTCCCCACTCTGTCTCTGGTGAATCCTCTCATCACCCCCTGAACTTCTGGCCTGTACTCTGGTTCTGTATGCATAAATAAATAAATCTTAAAAAAAAAAAAAACTGATTCCAATTTAAGGTCTTCATGTAGTCACGAGAATAAAAATGAAGCTAAATCTCTTAAACCATCGTGGTGAAATTGCTGTTATCTGGCCAGGCAGTCCTGCTGTGGCCTTATTTAAAATTTAACTCATAGGTATCCTTAACAAACTTTAAATGTAGAAGCATAGTTAATTAAAACTACCCTTAAAAAACATCATTTTCTCAATATACCAAGAAAAGTTCCACCTATTTACCTCAGTAATTGGCTGCCCCTGGTGTGTCAAATCCAGCTCCTGAGGGCGAGTAACTTTATCAATATCCAGAGAGTCCATGCTGGAGGCTGCGGAAGTCACGCTGGAGTGAGAGGAGTTACTAACAGAGCGAACATCAGCATCACTCACTGTGCCCGCAGACGCGGTTCTTCTGTGCTGGTTCGTTACTAAGGGTGTAGCAGTGTCTTCCAGGGCTGACTGCTGAGCAGCCTCATCCATGCTCAAGGAGGCCTGTTCTAGCTGTGCAGTGATGTCATCCAGGGAGTAGTTGGCATGGGAAGGCTTAGTTATTCTGTTGGATGCAGAAGATGATCCTTTCAAGGTCCCATGTTTTGATGTGTGTCGGCCAGGGGGTATTTTCTGTGTGGCTTTTGTTTCTGTGATTTGACGCTTACTATTTCCTGCACCAATACTGCTGAGTTCCTGTTCTATTGAGCAAAGATCGGCCATCAGAGCATCCAAATCCACAGTTTCTCCCTGATTCAGAGCTTCTGCAATGAACAATATACACGATGTTTCCAGAAAACACTGAATGAAGAGTCATACATTCTATTATAAATCAGTTAATGAACACGGGAGAAAGCAAAAAATGACATACCATTATAGCTAAAGCCTTTCAAATATTTTTAAGAGGTTTTTGTTTTGAATTCTGAGAGCAATTTTTAGAAGCAAACAATCCATTTTTGTAAGATTTGTAGTAATCAGAAAATAAAATGAGTTTAAAGATAAGAGCAATGCAATAAGTTTACACCACTCCATGGTTTTAACCACATCCCCCATGGAACTATTTTTTAAACTGGGGCTCTAGATTGTTAATATAATCAGTGCCCTAGATGTTAATGCCTTAAAGACACAAAATGAAAAAAGAAAAAAAAAATTACAGAATGGCGTGTCAATTGTACACACTATCAAGAGGAAGAGTATGTTAAATAAATGCCAGAGGGCTCATTTTAAAATTCCAGCTCTGTAATTTCATTGCAACTTCATCAAATAAAAACACAACTGTTTATTGCAGGCGGCTACCTGATTATATTCTTTGTCAATAACTCAACTAGAAAGCATTTTAGTTTACGTCTTCTTAATAATTTGAATTAGTAGCAAAATGCACAAAACTCAGTCAAGTTACCTGCCTCGTTTTTATACTGAGATACGTGGAATAGTCCTGTGTTGCTTCCAAATTATGTAACTTAGCATACTCATTTATATTTTACTTCCAATTACAACTTACCATTCAAGTTGTATATGGAGAAGCGATAAGAAAAATTGGCCATGTTTGTTTCTTGGCGAAGAGGAGATCTTTTTACTGGTTCCATAGGCTTGTCAGAATCCAAACTCTTGAAAAGAAAGTTTAGTAAGTAACATTAAATTCAGGTTGCAATTGTATAAAACAATGAATAAAGTTTGTTTTAATGTTAGGTAAATTTTCATATAATACAGTAGTTAATAATGCCAAAGTTTTTCTAAGTAACAGCTTAAGGTAAAGCATAACTGGTTTGCCAACTTTGCTATATAGTTCTTTCCATTTTTATATAGATGCTAAAGTAAGGTATCTGAAAATGTCATAGTTTGGAGTAAATATTTTCCAAATGCATCAAGTATAGTAACTGACTTCATTTTACATATATTCATTATAAAACAGGGGTGTAGGGATTAAGGCTCAGAGCTATCACTGCCACAGCCTGAGTTCCATCCATGGCGAGGGAGCCGACCCACATATGATGCAGACAACCTCTCATCTCATCCTCTGCTCCCCTTAGTGTAGATTTCAGGAGATCCTCCTGTTCTGCTCCCACTAGGTATCTGGTGAATCCTCTCACCAGCCCCCCACCTCTGGCCTACAACTCAGTTCTTCTATACATAACTAAATAAATCTTAAATAAGCTAGGCATGATAAGGTAAGAAACAGAAACCATTTATGTGTGCAAAGAATTGTTATCTCCTTTCTCAGAGAGATTTGTTTTGGGTTCATCACAGCATCCTTCTTGGTCTGGTAAAAATTTAATTTCAATTTATAATTATCAAAATTTATTTCAAGTAAAAAAAGAATGCTAGATAATGCTAATTATAGTCACTCTAATTATAGAATTATGGTATTATCTTAGAATGCTCTCTTCCTTTATTTACATGAAGATAAAATGAAGTCACTTATAGTGTCCATCCAGTTTTTAAAATTATATGAAGGACATCACAACCTATAGCGTTTGAAGTTCCCACCTTACCTACTTTTCTAACAATTAAGAAATCTCATACTTTGTATAGCAAAATATATACACATGTATGTATTTATTGGGGTAGTAACAATAAGTCCCTTTATTCTGAAAAGTATACTGGGTTAGCAGATAAAAGGTTTTTCTTTTCTAAAACTGAACTTCAACAAAATAAAATGGAAAAAAAGCTTTGTCACTGTTTTAAAATGCAATGTGAATGAACTCTTGTTTAAAATGAACTTCTGTCAGTTATTATGGAATCATATGCCAGGATATATCTGAGTGTTTTTAAACATATTTACTAAGTTATGAACTAGGATTTGCTAAAATTTAGAGCTTTAAATTTTAGGCTTTAAAAATTTTAGCCAGCAATCTCAATTTATAAAACAGACTTTAAGTAATCCCTCTAGATGAAGGAAATCTGTCACAAGCTTTTCTTGTAAAAAAAAAAAAAAAAAAGTCTTTTAAAAACCACAGAAGATAATAGCTTGTGTTCTAGAGTTATTCACCTACTTGCTAATGTTTTTCCTTTCTAATAGTACTAGAAAACACAACCTATGTCCATATCCTCATGTCCATACAGTAAAAATTAAGCACAATAATGATTTCAAATCTTCATCTAGTTTTGAAAACACTACTTCTAACCTGAGTGAGTTTATCTAGCTCTCCCAACCAGGCTCCAAACATTTTGTCTAGGTCCTGATCTTCCTTGTCACTGTCTTCTTCAGCACCATGGTCAATTTCTTCATCTGACAGCTGCTCCATCTGAAACACACAAATTTGTGTAGAATAGTTAAAAGATTAAAATGTATGTTTTGATATATATGTGTACAACTCTCCCGAGTTAAACCTTCAAAACTAGAGATTACATGATAAAAGGAAATTAGGCATAATTAATGGAGACAGGAATGGTAACTGAGTAGAAATGAGTGGACTTAAATGTTTAAGAAACCATGAAATACTAACTATATCACATTATGACCAGAATCACAAGTGACAATGATGTTTAAAATGCACAACACTCCCTTGATCAGCAGAGAACATCAAAGCAACATAATTCTCTCCACTAAGTCCTATAACACTGGAAACACCACAGAGAAATACTTTCTATAGACTAAAGTGACAAGATTTATCTTACCTCGTCTGTAAAAGTCTGCAAACAAACATGTCTCTTACAAACGTTAGAGGAATTTCCATTTCAGAGGAAATACAAAGCAAAATTTTTGACCTAACTTAATTGTTGAGTTAGTTCTTCTTCTATCCTACTTCACTTTCTACCCCATTTATTTTTACTCTACTTCTCCATAGGTTCCTACAAGATGCAAGGAACTAGAACTGAACTAGAAAACTAGAATCGAAAATTTAAGTTCATGTGTGCAAAACAAATTTTTAAGACGTTCTCAAAAGAAGAGATTTCTTCCCATTAGTAAAACAATGTGATATTTAACACGGAACTGGCATAATATGTTGTGAAGGTAAGAAAAAGGTTATATAACAAAGCAAGATCAATTATTGATAAAGTTCCTAAAGTAAGATTAATCTGGTTATAAGAATATTTCAATATTAAAGGCTGTGAACACTCTCTGGCAAAACTTAGCTTTGCTTAACCTAACATATTCTAAATTTATTTGACCACAAATCCTATTTCTTAAATTTGGGGTTTATACCTATGAACTATTCCAAAGATACAATGAAGATCATCACTGTATTCTCCACTCATATTTCTGGAACAGATTTTGTTGCAGTAGGCATAGGCAATATGTAGAGTACAATTTTTTGACTAATTTAAATAATTCCTCAGCAATTAAGATATCTTTTATCTTGAGTAAGAATGTGTACACAGCTCACACCTTTAATGCAGCTATCAACAAAATTACCTTTGTGATCCTTTAATGTGGTTAATGAAATAGGTAAGGAACCTGTCTGATGATTATCATGAAGTGAAATTTTAAACCTTATTTTACAGCACAAAAATTTGCATAAAGCATCAAATGTTGTAAAATCAAGCTGAGTATAGTCTAAAGATTTTGAAAATCATATATCCTATTTAAGCTCTTAAGGGAAATATTTTCCTTAAATTTAACATTACCAAGAATAACCACTCATCAAAATCTCTAAAGGACGCTGGTTAATTCCCACTTCTTAATTTCACTACTCTAACCATGTACAAATCAGGAAAAACAATTCAACTAATTTTCCAACTGATACAATCATTAAAGAGAATTAGCTTTCCTAATTCGGTAGTTCCTAAACTAAGATTTTTATTCATTACTGAGTTGACAGAACAGTATTAATAAAAACCAACCATCATACTTCATTATTTACCTATGAAAAACATAAAACGTTACTGCAAAGACAAACTTCAGCTGGTTAGAGAATAATTAAAACAGTAATACCCAGTCTTCATAAAGAAGGTCAATAAGCAACAGAATCAGCAACATAATAGTCAATTTCCTCTTCCTCTCTAACCTTCAAAACTAAACTCATTGGAATAAGCCAGACACTTAAATATGCTAGTTAAGAATTTTGCCTTGAGATACTTATGTATACACTTTTGGATAGACACTATAATTACTATAATGAAGAAAATTAAACAACAGAAATAGAATTTTACATAGCAAATACAAAATAGCTGTAAATGAATATACTTTAACTTATCAGGGAGACAAATAGAATTGTAGATTCTACATCAAAGTCATTAGTGTCTTGACTTTTTCCCTATTATTCAAACATAGTAGCATTAACTTCAATTGAAACTGCTCTTAATATAGTAATAAAGAAAATATTGCTAGGAACATTGACAGAGAACCACAAAATAAATGTTAATTTTGAAATAACTCAACATTTATCATCCCCAGGTAAACAGGCTCCATTCAATCTTTGATTTCCACAGTCCCAGCTTCTTCTTTGAGCCATTTATCTCAAAACAGGTTTTTTACATCCAGTTATGTTTCAGCAGCTCTCACAAAAAGTTCTTGAAACACCTGATGCTGCTTTAATCTGATAAATAACTTGAAAAAAACATGCCTTAAATGTGTGGTTACAGGAGTGCCCTCAATCATTCAAGACACAACTTTTGCAAAATAAAGGAAGGAAACCTAAGTCAGAACACATACACACACACACACACACACACACACACACACACACACACGCACACAAATGGGAAAATCCTTAAAATTAGTAAGGCACAAAAAGAGGAAGAAGGCCCATCAAAAGTAGGGGGCAGGAAGTCAGAGCAGAGAAGGTTAAGGAGAGAAATAGGACACAGCATAATGTAAAAGAATTGTGGGGGGTGGAGGGCCATTAGCCACTCATTAGCATGGGCACCAAGAACATGTCTCTCTTGTGACACAGAAGTTTTTGACACAGGACATTTAGTTCTGCATGCGCTCAATATTGTCATGTACAAATTGCCCACACAGAAACTCGGGATTTAAAAAACTAAATTTACATGAATCTTTTACATAATCAAGATATTGATCACATTGTGCATACAGAACATTTCCCTCGAGTTTTACCTTTTAATTCCTTAATGGTCTTTTTTACACCGTTCAGTAAAAGTTTCATTTTCAATTATATTAAACACACCGATTATTTTCCTGGTGAGCTCTTGCACTGTTTTGTTTAATTCTTATCTGCTCAGCAATCAGATTAATGTTTATGCACATTTTTAGTTTTACTTTTCAGTCTCTTATATAGCTTTTACATTTTACATAGAGTGCTTAATATGGTACATAATGTGAGAGTGAGAGCCTAAAATGGCATTATACCAAATTAAAATTTTCCATTTTTGTAATTTTTTTAAATTTATGTATTTACATTCTCTAAATAAATCAGGGGAGAAAAAAGTAGGGTACTACTTAAAAATCTTAGGGGCAAGCCCCCTGAACTGGCTACCAGGGAACCTGCCAGAAAGAGCATGGTCCTTCGGGGAAGCACTGCCACCTGGAAAGAAGCGAGTTTCCACATGGAACTGAACCTCACCAATAATGAGAGGTACCAGTCACAGTGAACAGCCCTCCTTATCCAGAGCAAAGAGAGTATTAGGGGAGGCCAGTCATAATGGTCTATTCTTTGTATCTGTTTTTGACAATCCAGGATGTTACTAAAGATCAAACAAGTATTAATTTGACAGTTCCTAGCGGTTATAATGTCTAAGCAGTAAGTCAAATTAACAAACATTTTATTAATGTTTTAGTTATAAAAGCACTTAATGCACCCCCAAATAAAGGACACCTTTTATAGGAAGATGAAACTCATTCCTTTACAATAGATTTTCATAATGGTGTTTATTCTTAATCGACTAACCTCCAAAAGCAGCACCTTAATTAAACTGGGAAAACATTCTTAGTTCAAAGCTATGCAAAGAAACATTTAACATTCCTATATAAGGTCTAATGATCAGTTTTATACTTACTACACAAAACAAATCATGATCTGAAATCAGAGCAAGTAAAAAACAAAACAAATGGCAAATGTAATATTCTTTTGCTTAATATTCCAACTTTTCAAGAAATAAAACAAATTTCCAGTGTGTAGTGATTTGTAATAGCAGCACTAGAAAGCTAATGCAGTCACTATATGTGTTCATAAAAATGGGGTTTCTGTGACTGCTTCCAGAGATGTTCATCTTGGTCACACCTCTATGCACACCAGCCCCTGTCTGTTAAACCACACAGGTGTGCAGTATCTCTGGAGATAGCTTACCATGGGCATGCCTGCTCTAAGCTACAGTGGAAGCAGAGGCTATGACTGTACTTTCCTGGGTAGGAGAATCTGTCTTGAAATTTTTGAAAGCCTCATTATGGAAGCAGGCAGCTGTTATTTTCCTCCATTATGCCCCTACCAGACAACCAAATGCATAGCAGGAAAGGCACACTTAGGACAGCCCATGCTTTGAAGTCAAAGGGAGAGCTCCACAAAGCTTTGGTTTGTGTTGCAGAACCTTCTGGATAGAATTTTGAGTTACCAGTATGAACTCAAGGTTTCAAACTGATAAAGAGTTAAAGTGAGGGGTAGAAAAAAAAATGCAGATATATATATTTACTAAGGCCACTAAAATGGCCTTAGTAGCAGTGACAGACAAATAGCAATTAGCATATCTACAGCCCAGTTTTGGTTTCTACTTATTTTGCTCAAAAAGTAACTTTGCTTCAAGTAATGATTTCTTGGCAATGGCTGGGAAAAAGACAAGACCCCAGAACATCTTATGCCTGGAAAGTGCTCAATGAAAATGGGGACATGTCTCAAGAACCAGCCTGAACGGAATCCAGAGCCTAATATGGGACAACTTAGAAAATCAAAATGAATTATGACAGTAACTGTAACCTAGTGAATGAAATAAGAACCCAAGGATTCATACTTACAAATGTGTGTGTGTGTGTGTGTGTGTGTGTATATATATATATATGCACGTTTATAGTAGAATATCTTCAATGATGAAATTTACAAATCACACTTTGCAACCACAGTATAAACAACTGACTCAGACAAAAATCATCATTAGATGCTAATTCTAGTGGATAAAAATTTAATGAGACTATTTACATTCTCAAAATATTGCCCCACAAATTACTGAAGGGACATTACCTTAACTGATCAAAGTTACCATCACCAATGCTGGGAGATGTCCTATGCTTTTAGTGACTAAGTAGACACATCATTTAGTGGTACTTCCTGAACCAAATAAGGAATATTTTACAAAATAATCGACCTATAGTTTTCAGAAATGTGAAGGTTGAGAACACAAAGACTAAGGATAT